CCTTCCTGGGAAGCGTGGTCCGATTCGGACTCCCGCGAACTCCCAGGATCCATGCTTATTAGCTATGAAGCCCTGTATGTTGTCCGAAATGCGCTTTAAATTTTACTGTCGACAAAACACTTTTTTCGATTGGAATGTCCGGATGCCTACCGAGCACGTCCTATCCGCAGTAAAGCTATCGCAAGACTGTAACATATTCTATTATACTAGTTTGGCGCGTTTTTTGAAATCTTTGTTGAATAATGCAATGCTGAAAATGGGTTTCAAGGTTTTTAAGATGTTGAAACGCAATAAAATCATCGCTGGAAAATCATTTTAAAAGGGAAATTGCATTTAAGGCATTATCATACTATTTTATGAGTGAAGTATCAGGTACAATTGTCAACGTGTCTTCTGATTCGTCATCATTACTACTCATGGAAAGTTCAGTTGTGGAAAGGGCGGTGGTATCAGGATGAAACGTTTCTTTTTCAGTCTCCACCATATGGTCCATGTTTACAAATCCTTCTGCTTGTTGATCACTTGCACCTAAGGATTTTGCATGACGCATTAGTCCAGCTAATAATGACAAAGGCAGCTCATCTTCTGGATTATAATCTTGTGGAATTTCTCCTTTTGTCTTCTTGAATCCAGCTTTTATAAAGCAATTCATGACTGTTGCAGAATTTACTTTATTCCATGCCGTCTTTATGAAATATAAAGCCCCTAATACATTACTGGACTTTGGCAGCTCAGACACAGACTTGGAAAAGTCAATTTTAGTTAACACATGTTTTAGAATAAGACCTCTATAATAAAATTTGACGGTCCAAGGGCTAACATATAGAAGTGGTGTTTGGAAGCAAAAATATAACTGACATTTTTCAGTTTCACCTCACGAGGATGGCATTCTGCGTTATCTAGAAATAAGAGCATTCTTCTTTTCTGAATCCCCATTTTTCTATCGAAATGAAACGATCATCTTGACATAATATCTTGAGTCATCCACGCTTTCTTGTTTGATTTCCAAATTGCTGGCAAATCTTGGATGGCAATTTTTTTCAAAGCGCGAGGGCGAGCTGATTTTCCTATGACTAAAATCCTCCTTTTCACCAGCCATCGATGCGCAAAACAAAATGGTGAGTTTTTCTTTAGAGAAGAGAGTTCTGTCTGGTAATGCACGAAAGAAAAGTCCGGTCTCATCTGCGTTGAAAACGTCCTCCGGCTTGTAGCCAAGCAACATCCAGTATCTCTAAACACTTTATTTAGGAAACTCCTCTTTTGTCCTACATTGTAGTCACACTGCGATTTTGTTCTAATATCTTCTTTTTTGGTTATTTCTGCCGCTTAAGTTTGTTGGATCTTAAATCGCCTTGCTAGTTCTCGAACGGACACTGTTCTTTTTATCTAAAACATTTACTATTTCCATTTTTTCTTTTAAGAAAAGCATTTTCTTTTTTGGAGCCATATTCACAAACACTCTCTACATATGCTCGAAACTTAATTGCACTACTATTGGTTTAGTGTATCCTTGTGTTCTGTGTATCTTACATACGTGGTAGAAATGTAGCCCTTCATCGGTAGTTTTCGGTACTCTGAGTGCCCTTGGAAGGCTCTGCTGCAATTATGTCCAATACTTGTCTACTGTCTGAAACCCGAACATCTGTTGTCGTCCTGGAGCCAATCTTCCAGTGTTCCATTGTCTCTGAACCTTTTTTGGCGTAAGTTCTTACAGCTTCTGCTAGGTTAATCTGTGCATAACTAATCGCATATTCGATATTGGTGAACATTTTGTGAAAGAAAGGCTATCTACCTGTAACTATCTGTTAATGACAAAAAACATTGCCGCTTTGACTTTTCAACAACAAATTGAAGAAGAGAACTTTTTTGTTATCAAGAATTTGCGCAATTGGAAGCAAATACCGTAATATTTCTTTGCGGGCGGTTAAGTATTTCAATAGGATACTAATCAAAGATGAGACCATTTAAAAATTATTCTTATTAACAATGTTGGCATTCGATTTTTAACTGTTAATATCTTCTAGAAATTTTCGAAAAACACGTTTTCAATATTTTTCTCGTACTCTCCAAGTGAGCCCCTTCGATTGATGTTCTGTGACCGTCTTATAACCATCATAAACAAAGTTTCAGAATTCCTCCATTGCTTTTAGAAGTAGCTTGATCTGTCCAAAGGAGGTTTGTTAGAAACAGATGATGACCTCGAAGCATATTTAACTGCAATAATTCGAGCGCCTTTCAAAATTTTGTTGTGGCAAAGTCTGGTGAAGAACGTTATGGTCACTAAGACGGACTTCAAAACGTACTACAGACTTATGACTTCCATGCGTAAAAGCATTCCGAATCTTTCAAACAAAACTTAGAAAGGATACTTCGTGATGGGAAATAGGCAGAAAGTATTGCTTGTTCCTAGATGTACACCATCAAATTCTGCACAGCAATGCTCGTTTTATGCGAAATCAAAAATAAGTAAAAGCAATTATTTAAATTTTTGTTTTATTACGGTACATTAATAATATAAATTGGCAATCCATTAACTAAATATGTGAGACTGGTATTATTTACAGTGAATAATGTACAAGCCGTATATATCAATTCGTCTGCTAGCAGCGGAAATAATATAGTCACGAAAATAACTTACTACCTACTTGTAGAAATTGTACAGGAGCTTTATTTCTATATGCCCATTCGTTCTATCTACGTTAACACCAAACCACTATTACAAATTGACTTTCTGGTTTAGCATGTCTATTTTCCCACTGGTGGCAAGTAACCCCTCGTCTGATATCCACCAGGCTTTCGAGTGTTCGAATACCCTCCATTAGATTGCTGCTCATTTGGATAAGTTGTACTTGGACTTGAAGGGGAAGATTGTTGTGTTGAAGAATAAGTTCCGCCTACTTGCTGATTGCCTGAATAGACTCCTGAAGCTCCACCTCCAGAAGGGAAACTACCAGCGGACTGAGCAGTTGAATGTCCCTCACGCGGCTGTTCTCCTTTTGAATTTACTCCAGACGTCTGCAGCTCGCCTTGTTGTCGCTGATTGCTTGGATACGCTCCAGAACTGTTGGGATATCCTGCGTTGGTTTGCTGACCACGGTATCCACTTATAGGTTGCTGGCTACCAGGATATGCTTGAGAGGGTTCTGGTTGCCCACCAGGGTACCCACCGTTAGTTCCTCGCTGACTATTGGATGACGGGTTGGTCTGTTGATTTCCCGAATAACCGCTACTATTTCCATTTGTATTTACACTTGAGGAAATCGGTTTTTGTGGTCCTGAATAAGTTCCAGATTGCAAAGCTTCTTGGGGCTGTATGGGGGGCAAATATTGAGATCCCTGAGTGGGTTTACTGGAGCCTTGATATCTTCCGGGTGCGGTAGAAGAAGGGAATGCATTTTGTGTATCGCCTGCAAAGGTAGAAGGCCCTCCAAAACCCGTCGAGTGTGAGAAAGTACCATGGGGTCTATTGTTGGGATATTGTTGGCCTGATGACGGATAATTTGGAACTTGAGGTGAAGTAGAAGGTCTATGAGGAGCTTGCGGCGACGCTTGAGGGCCGTTTTGTGAAACTCCCTCTTTTTGGAAATCTGCAATATATGTTTCATTTTTATATTTACTGGATATCACTTTTTAAGAATCATACATAACTGTGGTTATATCATGAAATTATAAGTTTCTTAAAAAAAATGTTGTGGGGACAGATTTAATATATGTTATTCATATACATGATAACTTTTACATGTTTATGTGTGTATTGTGAGTTTGGAGTCTGTCAACTGCTCGACTGGTTTTATCTTGCGCGATAACGACGGTGTCGTCAGAATGTTGCACTGAGAAAACATTTTGGTTCATTCATTTTTGAGTGGTGATTGCTAAGGTAGGCCATGATCGGGTGAAAATAAGAGAGGTAATTGTCGTTGACTTGTATCTTTAGTTGTCCATCTTTGAGTAGTTGTTTAATAATATATATCATATTGTCGTAAGTCTGTATAGTTTGCACATTAAGGCATTTGTGGGACTACAGACAATTGCAGATGTACTTATGTAGCATTCGACCCATACCGGGGATCAGAAGTGAGGCATTTGATCCGTTCGCCCTTGTCTTCGTTCCGATTTCATGTCTCTTGCCACTCCTGAATTATTTGAATTAACGCCAAAACGGCTTTCTTCACCGATGATAATACGGTCATTTCAACGACTTATATGGTATCATAATATACTCTCGTATGCAGAGTGATGATGCCTATGTCTCCTCTATCTCCGTTTCGGCAATGAATAATTGGCTTCATTCTTTTTATTATATTTTTACAGCGGCAAGCACGCATTCTGGCTAGGCATGGATAACACTGTGTTGAGTTGATGTCGCTCTTTGAGTTATAACCCATCTGCTGATGTTACGGGACTACGTCGGAGAGTTACTGCGTTGGGTTGGCGCACCACGCCATTCCGTGAGCACTGGGCCAACTCTTGAAAATTCTTGAAAAATGTGTTACTACCCATGCCTAAATCAGGCAAATTTTTTTTCACAAAAATGTTAATTTTAGATGTCTTTGCCGTCATAACTACATTTGTGAATAGTTGAATAGTGAAAGTTTTTGGTGAAAGTGAATGACGGCATAACTGAATTGCCGAATGCTGAAATCGTGACTGGAGTCGCACCCCGTTCCAAGTAATAATTGAAAAAGGGTCGCGTTTCTATCATCCTATAAAATTTGGCTATTTATGTAAATGGCTTTTGGCCGGGGATCTCAGGCATGGCAAGCGGATACGTGCACTACCACACCACTGTGATCACCTTATACGATGTGACAATTTGTCGGGCTTCTAAACAGAAATTGAACGCTTGGGAAACAACATAATTACTAAATAAACATAAGAACCTACAGTTAGGAACGTTGTTTAGATAATTATAAAATGTCTTGACCATCATTGAATGCCATATGGAAGAAACTTTTGAGTGAAACAACAGGGGTATTCAAACTAAACAGAGAAACAGAGAATTGCAAACCAGTGCATCCATATATTCTGCTAATATAAAAAAAACTGGGTATAACGATAGTGCAAGTCGTACCTTGAGGTCTACTTGGGCCACCTGACGGATATCCGCCATTCCCACCCGAAGCTAGAGGCTCCTGTGAAGGATAGCTGTTTGTCTGAGTTTGTTGGCTTGAAACAGATGGTAAAGCACCGGGTCCAGTTGGTTGATATCCTCAAAGAAGAAATATAGATATTTTCATTTGAATATTTGAATTTTCCCTCAGTTGACTTACCTGGAGTCTGGAATCCGTCGGCACCAACAGGCGCTGAAGGTATTTGACTTCCTTCAGATACCTGTTGATTGATATTGGGAGGTTCAGTGCCCACAAAACCTCCACCATACCCGTCAGCACCAGATCCAGCTGGGATTCCTCCCGTTTGCTGCTGGGCTCCTGATATCGCGTGATCGTAGATGTTTGCGTTCATTTCGTAAAGAGACTGAGCAGTATTACAATCAAACTGATTCCACCATACACACACGAAGAACTGCTGATGAAAAATTGTGCCGTTTGGACAAAGAAAGTCATATGTTTTGTTGTTGGCACAAACATGGAATACCTGACATCTGGAACAACGAATTCTTATATTATTTACTGACTGGTTACCAGTTTGCAATCGGACTACCTTGCTTCTACGTCGGCATAATAACCCGGATACCGTTGTTGGTCACAACTAAACGAAGTTTGAGGGACAAAAGAGAAAATCGAATAGTCAGCATCGGGCTCTCCAGGGATGGCCGAATAATCACCCTCATTTACTTCGGAAGGCCCAGCAATACCATGCTCTCCGGTCGTATCTCCTGTACACCAGTGACAATATTAGAAAACAATTTACAATATGACTTTGCTAATATTACGGACAAATATTTTGTTTTCCAGGCCGGGAACTAGTTCTAAAGTTTGAGAATCTTTGACACACCACTTTTCTAAAAGGGCAGAAATGCGAGAATGAAGCGCCTTTTAAGATTTTTTAAAGGAAAAGTTCGGGCCTGTAAAAGAAAAGTCCTGGAGCGAAATCTTAGGTCATACTTACTAGATTATAACGTTAAAGGATCAGGAATTGGAAAGTGGGGGCTCTCTTGGCACATGTTTACCTGAACTCTGGTCCAGGCTTGCTGCACCTGCACCCGCTCCAAATGCACCTTGAGGTGTTTCCGGTCTACCATTTTGACCTGCAAAAGACCCTGAGGCTGGACTTTGGGGCCGTTGTGCTCCCGGATAACTTGACTGAGACGCATCTGTATAGCCGCTGCCTTGACCTTGCCCAGGATAGCCACTTGGATTAATTCCTTGGTTTTCAAATCTCCCTGGTTGCCGGGAAAATCCGCCCTGCTCTGGGGAATTAGGAAATATTTGTATATTGATGCTTCATTCGTCATTTACTAATTGCCCACCCTGTGGTACATTTGAGGGGTTTGCTGCAGGCCGATTCTGAACCGGAAAATTTGAGCCTGAAGGTTTTGATGCCGAAGGGTAGCCTCCATGTGCACTGGGGAAATGCTCAGGTTTCGGTCCGTTTGCTGGAAAGTTTTCAGTAGGCCCAGAGTTGGAAATACTTAGCGGTGGAAACACGCTCTGTTGGCCTTTGCTAGGACCTTCAGGAATAGCTGGTCCACTTGGTGCCCCAGCTGGAGGATAACCTGTGCCTAATTAAATATACATTCTTATCTTTCCTGGGTGTCTGGGTTTCAGTCAAAGTGTGAAGTAAACATTTTTTGAAACATTGTTTATTTCACTACGTTTCGGCGAGACAACAGCGCCATAATCAGATTAGAATTTACACAAACTACACCAATTCACAATGAAAACATGTTGTGTAAAAATTATAATTTACAGTGTTAAAACATTCATCAGCTTTTGAGGGAAAAATTCTTCCTTTTGGGAGAGCAAAACACCGGAAAAACGTACCTCATGATTGGTAAAAATCAACGACCTTTTAGGTCTTTGCATTCTTGAAAACCTTGAGTTTGTCTGAATTATTTTCTACATTTGCGAGAGTGGTATGCATGTATCGAGATAAGCAGAAATAGTTTAAATTTTTGACTAGTGTACCGGGTGTTTCTTACTTATGGCTTTATTAGGGTTTGGTAAATGTTGCTAAGGTTGTCGGTATCTGATCTGAAATTTACTGCTTTTGCATGTTTTTTTATTTGTATCA